TCGACATGTTCATCTATATTCAGCTTTCACAGCAGCAGCAGTCTTAAGAAATATACTGCCAAAATGTGAATTGCATTCCAGTTAAATTCAGCTGTATGCTGATATTTGCTGCCATATTGATGAAGACAGAAGGACAAAATACCTTTACAAATAATTTCCAGTAGCTTCAACCAAGTCCAGTTGCCCTTCATTTTAACCTTCGTTGGATAACTATGACCTGGATGACTGAGAATCTTCATAGACATCTTTACAAATAACATGTCTCTCTCACACACACACACACACACACACACACACACACACACACACACACACACACACTTTCCCCTTACCCACCTTTTCATTGTACATAGTTGACCTTAGCACGAGACATCATTCAGCAATATATGGCACTTTTCAGTGATATTATGACTTAATAGTGTGTTTGTTATGTTCAGTGATGGATAGTAACTCAGTACATTTGATCAAATACAAATTAGACGTATTTGTACTTTTTTTTGGCACCTTCTACTTCTCCTCTACATCTCAGAGGGAAATGTTATACTTTTTTCTTCACTACATTTAATCAGTTAGTTACTTTACAAAGAAAGATTTTAACACACAAAACACATAAATATTTGTTATAAATGAAACTACCCAACAGTTTATAGACAGCTGGTACATTAGTTTACTATGGTAATTGTCTTTCGGTAACTGTGAGAACATTTCTCACTGTTTTTACAATCGATTAATGGAGAGAATAATCAGCAGATTAATCCACAATGAAAATAATCATTACTTGCTGCCTGAGACAAAACAGTTCAACCTCAACCAACTACATTAATGCATGAGTAATAATAATCTAATATATAATAATAATAATCAATATAATAGTATGAAAGTCACAAGGCACATTTTGCTTTCTGCTTTGAGTACTTTTACTTTTAATACTTCAAGTACATTTTCCTGATCATTTAGTTCAGTTCAGTTCAGTGTGCTTTATTGGCATAAAGGTTTTATTTACACAATTTTGCCAAAAGTTTACATTTCAATATAACATAACAATGACATAACAAGATATATCCAATCAAGACCATTCAATTTAGCAGTTATAAATTACAAAAACAACAAAAAACAAACACAGATAGAACGTAAACTACAAATAACAGTGAACTAGATGTAACCTGCCACGCATATTGTTGGCTGAGTCCCTCGCTGTCCCTCAGGTTGGGACACAAGGACACATACTTGGCAGCAATGTTTGCCATCTGTCTCCTGGGATTATTCTTAATTTATTAAGTTCCTCTATGGTACGCTGTTGCCTCTGGGCAACATACCCTTTTTGCCCTTGTACACCTCCACCAAACATCACAAAATATGATGCATTACTTTAAAACAGTTGCAGGGCCTTAAGGAAACTAGTAGCAGTCTTAAAATTTGTCACATGATGCTCTGGCGCCCATTAGGAATCTTTTTACTGCTGCATTACACTGCCCTCAAAATATATTTTACTTTTTTGACCCAGAAAAATTATATTCACAATAATAAGTGAGTAAAGTTGCATTATTAATTGTTTAATATAATTATTTGATAATTATATAATGGAAAATAGTTCAAATGGAAATGTTGCCTTGAAGCAGCATCAAACCATTATGGAATCCCGTCATGCCATTTCTTGGTGTTGAGCATTAGGTTTATGTACTGATCAAAAGCTGTTAACGTAATTTTCACTCATTTTACATTGATTAATTCATTAATTATACATTTGATGATTTTGGTTGTAATAACATTGTAATAAAAAATGTATTACACTGGATATTTCAATCTTACGCTTTGTTATTCTGCCTGCAGAGCAGATGCTTATATAAGGGAATCGTAGGGATTCGTAGGAATCGGGTCCAGTGGGCATGAAGTTGGACGGCTACGGGTCAAGAGTTCTGATACTTCGCTCTCTGTGAGAGGAGTAATCGAGGAGAGTGAACAACCAAGATGTAGTAGGACTGCTACAATGGTTGAGGTTGAGTGTTTCAGAGAATTGGCTAGTTATAGCCGCCACTTTGCCTGTGAAGAAGGCAGCAAAAGTATCAGCAGACAAGTTTGTGGGTGGTGGAGGTGGAGGAGGATTTAGTAGCACTTTAAGGGTGGAAAATAATGTCCTTGAGTCAGTGGCACTGCTTATTCTGTCATTATAGAACGCAGTTTTGGCAGCACTGATGCTTGTTGAGAAGGAGGACAGGAGCAGTTGGTAGCCCTTAAGGTCAGCGGGGTCTTTGGTTTTTCACCATTTTCTTTCAGCCGCTCTGAGATCAGTACGGAGCCCACAGATGGTATCAGTTAGCCACGGGTGGGGCTGGTTTGGGCGAGCAGGCTTGGTGGATAGAGGACACAGGCTATCCAGGCACGAGCTTAGCGTAGAGCACAGAGATTGTGCGGCATCATTGACCTCAAGTGAGGAAAATGTGTTGAGGGAGGGTAGAGCAGGAGCTACCACTGAGGCAAAGTGAGCGGCAGACAGGTTGTGGAGGTTGTAAAACCGATGGTGTTGGAAGAATGAGCTTTTCCTGTAGACATACCGTGAACTGAATGAAATAGTGGTCTGACACATATAGAGGTGTGACTGTTAGGCACTCTTTGGCACAGTTTCGGACAAGAAGGAGGTCAAGCACCTTGCCAGCTTAGTGGGTCGGGGGGCTGAGAACCCGTGTTAGATCAAAGGACTGAATCAGACACAGGAAGTCTGCTGAGTTTGAATTGTCTAAGTGAATGTTCATGTCACAGAGGACAAGTAGGGGACAGTCATGCTCTGGGATTGAAGACAGCAGTGTGTCTAGCTCCTCCACAAAGTTACCCATTTGTCCTGGTGGACGGTATATGACAATCACAGAGACCTTTACCGGAGTGGACACAAAGACAGCATGGTATGCTGCTGCAAACTCGTATTTGCCCCACGATTCTGGCTGTTACATCTTTGTTAGTTTCCTTTTTAAACAGTCCGTGGTGCAAAAAATGTTTTTATTTAATCATGAGCTTTTCATGAGCTTTTCTCTCTAACGCCTGGTGCACACTAGAGGATTTTCAAATCTTAACCGGTTTTCCATTCTTTACCATTATGGTAAAGTGTTGCTTTAAGTCAACGTACCCCAAAGTTTACACCAAAATATATATTTTTTGAAATTTCTTTAAATTATGTTTACTTGGTCTATTTAATGACAAAAAACACAACAATATTTTTTTACACTCTGGCAAAATAATGCGCACCATAGTAGGTTAAAATGGAATTTCTCAGACTATTGCTTCTGTATTTATCACATTTCAGGAGACAATGTGTCTCTGTCTCCACCTCGCCTGTCCTATAGAGCTCACAGACTCTATATTCTTTAGGTAACCAGGACGTTTTATGTCTCAGTGTTTCAGCTGCGGGTCACTGAGTCTGTACTTGGTCAGAAGCTGCCTCTCTGACAATAAAGGCAAGTTTATTTGTATTGCACAATTTAACAACAAGGTAATTCAAAGTGCTCTACATAAAACATAAAAGCAACAGGGAAATATGTGAAAGTTTAAAAGCAACATAAAATATAATAAGTTACAGTGTTATAATCAGGTTAAAAGCGTTAAATGGAAAATAATAAAAGCTAAAAACAAAGAAAAAGAAAACAGGACAGTAAAGTTACAGTGCAGTGTAAGTTATCAGTAAAAAGAAAATCTTAAATATTTAATTAAAAGCAGTGGTAAAAAGAAAAGTCTTCAGTCTTAATTTAAAAGAACTGACAGTTTCAGCAAACCTGCAGTTATCTGGGAGTTTGTTCCAGATATACGGAGCATAATAACTGAACGCTGCTTCTCCTTGTTTAGTTTTGACTCTGGGGACAGAAAGCAGACCTGATCCCAGACGACCTGAGAGGTCTGGATGGTTCATAACGAAGCAGAAGATCAGAAATGTATTTTGGCCCTAAACCATTTAGTGCTTTATAAACTAACAGCAGGATTTTGAAATCAATTCTTTGACATACATGAAGCCAATGTAAAGACCTCAGAACTGGAGTGATGTGATCCACTTTTTTTTTTACTTAAGGTAAGGATTTGAAAACTTCAGTCAGCACTGCTAATGTTACTGTTTGTGCAACAGACTGTTTATGTTTGTGTTTAAGAATGCATCAACTTTGTAACAGTGGCATTAAATAATCACTGACTACTTGACAGAGCGCTGGTGTCCTGCAGTTTCTGTTAAACTGTATTGGGATGTTACCTGAAACTGACTGAATATGGCTCAGCCCCACCTAGAACTGTTTTCACCAGCCGACCCTGAGTCTCATATATTCCTGAGTAGCTGCAGATCAGTGAATTCAGTTCATGAAGCTTGTATCTGCAAAGCACACAAGGAAAAACTGTTTTCCCCATGTCACAATATGTTTATATTGAAGTGACACCAATATTTTATATGGATCTTTAAATAAAAAATACAAATTTTAAATTCAAAGTTTCACTGTAACACAGTAAATAATTCAGCTTGTGTGACGTCCTGAAATCAAGTTAATTTATTCTATTTATTTATATTTCATCCACATACTGAGTATACATGAACAAAATGCTGTTTCTCACAGTCCAAGGTGCTAAAAACAAAGTCAGAAAGAGTCAACATGTTCATCCTGTGCAGAACACGTTGACTCTTATCTTGATCACAGCCAGCAGCTCTGTGGTCGTTCGACTCAGATAAATCAGCTTCACTTGTGTTTGGTCTCTTTTCAGCTTTCACAGCAGCAGCAATGTAAACAAGAAAAAAACTGTCAAAATGTAAAATGTTCTTCAGTTTAATTCCTACACGTCTGTCTTCAGCTATATTCTGATATTTTCTGCCATATTAATACATTTTATATTGTGTAATATTCAAATACTGTACAGAAATATATATTTATTATAATAGAAGCATATTAATCTAAATACTTTTTGTACCATGGCTGCTGCAGTCGTAGTAGCGTAGTACTAACAGTACTGGTATCAGCTGTGTGTGTTTTATTTTCCAGAGAGTGATCCAGCTGCAGTCTACTCAACAGTGAGAGGAACAGGAGACGTCAGTTATGGACAAATAGTCATCAAAGACATCAAATCAAACAGGACGAGAGGTACAGCTGCTCTTCTTTGTTTCCATCGTGAACCAACTCTAGAAGATCTGTTAGAGAAGAAAACAGGATGATGTTTACGTGGTTTTCATGGCCCAAAAGGTGTGTAGGATGTACTTTAGTGGTTTGTGATTCCTGCTGTTAATTTCTCTGTTGTGGTTCCTGGTAGCAGTTTTTTTTGCAAGTTCCACTAGAGACAACTTTGAGGGTTCAAGTCTGACAAGGAAGCAAGAGGAACATTTAATTATACAGCACTTTAAAAAAAGATGAGATCCCTCACTGGCTTCCCACCACTATGAAACTGATGGGGGTTTGTTATAATACATGACCAAGCCACAGAGAGAGACGGCTACAGGGAATCAAACATCTGAGCTCTGCAGTTGTACTCAGGATCATTAAGGCCTATAACCCTGAATCCAGTCTGACAGGCAGAACTTTACATTTATTCATTTAGCTGACACTTTTATCCAAATCGACTTACAATTGCTTTATATGTCAGAGGTCACACGCCTCTGGAGCAACTAGGGGTTAAGTGTCTTGCTCAGGAACACAATGGTGTCTCACAGTGGATTCAAACCCGAGTCTTTCACACCAAAGGTATGTGTCTCATTCACTGCTCCATCACCCCCCCCACCTTTAAAAGGTGAGGACATTTCTGTAAATTGTCCACATTGTGAAATTTGAGTAAAGTCTAGTTTTTGGAAACTAAAAAAAAATATACAATATGATAACATCTTGTCTATCTCTTTAAAATAATAAGGCTATTTATTGTGTTGGGGTCAGAATTAGTTTTAGGTCAGTAAAGATTGTTTCAGAAAGTCAGGACATTTTTAAAGGAGAGGACATTAAAGATTAATGTGAACATTTCTAAATGTTTGGGACTAGATAATGAATTGTGTCAGTGATGGTCTGAAGTACAAAAAAATATTTTGGTAATTTGATGAGTTTTATTCTGAAATCATCATTTTTCTCTATTTTTAGATTTTATGTAATTTACATTACACATCGGACACTAACACAAACCTTTCACATGAGACCTGGTCAAACTACATTTATTTTATCGTTTTACTTCCCCAAGTCTCAGACCGTAGTCTATTTTTGTTGATGTGTTGAATGTGAGTCTGTTTTGTGTCCTGTGGTGAATCTGTTAACAAGATAACAGATCTGTGGTCGTCCAGTTTAATGTTTCTGAGAAAAACAGAACTTCAGCTGAACGTGTCTCTGAACATCTTTCACTGCAGGACTGTTCATTTAAAAAATAACTTATTTATTAAATTATAAATATGCAGAATTACATTTCTCTGTACATTCTGCTCAAAACAGGATCTAAATATGTGTAAAATGTTTTACTGTTGTGTTTTACTCAAACATTATTATTTATGTTTGTTTTAATGTAAATATTATATTAAGTGTTTAATGATTTTAATAAAGAGAAGATGGACTCAGCAGAACGAAGATACTTTTTCCATTCTGCACATTAAACACAGAAACTTCCTCCTGTTGGTTTCAGTGAACTCTTGTGTGATGCTGGTGGTTTTTCACTATAGGGTGATCTGTTTTAGCTGATGGTGACGTGTCTATATTCTGACTTCTGCTGAAATGTGTGAACTTGTATTAATAGAAGCGAGCAGCCAACTTCCTTTTCCAGCCAAATACTTTCCAGTTATATTTGTTCTTTCAGCTCTGCTGTCATTTATGAAGCCTTTAATAAAACTTATTACTGGTCTACATGTATTATATGCGTTGCAGTACTACTAGTACAGCAGTAAATGTACTAACACCACTGGTATCAGTTGTAGTATTTGCAGTAATGTAATTTCTGTGTTTTGTTTTCCAGAGAGTGATCCAGCTGCAGTCTACTCAGCAGTAAGAACAGGAGACGTCATTATGGACAAATAGCCATCAGACCACAAAGGACGAGAGGTACAGCTGCTCTTTATTTATTAACCCTTTCATGCATCATGTCCACATTTGATACAGTTACTTTAACTCCATTTGGGCTCAATATCATGGTTACGTTCTCCAAGTCATTTGATACCAACATTGTAACATTGTAGTGGAGTCAGATTGTATTAAGTTTGATTTCTGTAACCTGCTAGTTTATCTATTCTACTTTTTCAAAGATGTGAATTGTATTATAGGAAAAAAACAGACATTTAACAAATATATAAATATAACAATGCAAACGTGCATATTGCAACATTAAATGGCTTTGCGGCTTTTAAATAAATAAATAAGTATATACTGACATACTGTAAAGAAATCATTTTTAACTAGAACTATGTAATCTGCATGTTGGTTTCTTGTTTGTTAATATGTTAACTCTGAGATGATTCACCATGAAGTTAGATAAGGATAAAAATATTGTATGGGGTTGATTGATGTAGTTTGTATGATGCTTTGGAAATATTGTTGTTACACATTCATGCCAATAAAGCTAATTTGAATTGACTTGATAAATATATGCTACTGGGTTTCCGCATACACGTAACCTCAGACAAAGACAGGATCATCTACAGCTTGTTTCAGACAGAGGCTGAAATGAAGAGCCAGTATAAGAAGAAACAAATATTTTTTTGAACTTTGAATCACACAAAGCTGCCACATAGAGTCATAGAACTACAATATAGGACTAGAAAAGCAGGTTAATAGCTCTCCTTTACACTAATGGTCATGCACAGGCTGCACAGCCCCCCCTTCTCTCTCTCTATTAATTAATCAAGCTCAACACGGACACGGTGGATGTTTTAAAAGCACGGACCAGGTAAAGCAACATTGAACACACCTGTGGGTTATTCGTCATCAGGGGGGTATTGATTGATAATTAACAGCCTCCTCCACACGCGACTCACCTGCTGCTGTAAAAACAATGAGGGTGAAAAAAATGATTTTACAATAATACAGAATATAAACTTACCTTCATGGAACATCTGACAAATCCAGCAACAGAGCAGATAGGACTCCTGTAACCTGCTGCAGGTTTGGTGAAAATGTAAAAGTTATTTAAAAGTGAGTGTTTTATTATGAAGATAGTTAAATGAATCCCTGTCAAAATGATACTAATGGGGATCCTAAATGAGAAAATTGTATATGCTGTCAAAAAGTAATCGTTGCATCTCTACTGACGGCAGTAGCATGCTAAATATGGCTCTTTTAGTTTCTAAAAAAAAAATGTAAACTGAGAAGTACTTAAATTAATCTGATATTTCCCACTCACTCTGAACAGCCCAAAAAATGTTTCCTAGCAACAGATTCAGTTGTTAGATGCTGAGAACTCAGTGAAGCAGAGTTGTTGTCTGGTGACAGAGTTTCTTTGTCTCATGTTGTTTGAACTGTTTGTGTGTTCAGAGTTTCCAGCAGAGCCAGAGGTCGTCTACTCTTCACTGAGGTAGACCTTCACACCTTCACACCAGTCCAACCACTGATGTCCACTGAGCAGAGCACTGTACCTGTTTCATTGAATTTTCATACATTTATATAGAATCTAATCATAACTTCATGTTGTTTTGTGGTTTCTAATAATAATAAACTTCGGTCTCGTTCTTGTTTTTCTCCAGTGGTTCTGTGGGTTTCACAAAGCTGTCAGATGGGGAAAAAATCACATACATACACCTGTCTTCAGTGTAGATAACTATGGGGCCCGTAGGCCAAATACAAAAGCCACAACGGAAGTGAACCACAATGGAATTTGACAGAGAAAGAGACGTTTAGTAACGTATAGTGGCAATATGTCATGTGGTGTGTGTGGTGAGGCAGGAAAGGGTTTAATCCAATGAAAAGCGAGCACACTTACAATGTAGTGGCTAAGTCCAGGGAATCCAAACAAACAGTCCAAACAAAAGGGAAACCAACAGAAAATCCAGAGAAACGAGGAAAGATCCTTAATCCAAAGAACAAAAGAAGTACAGGCTGGAAACAGGCAGGCAAGACGAATGGCAACCAAAGCGACTGAACACAACAATGACCGGACAGGGAATGAACAGAAACACCAGACATTTATACACAGAGGTAACGAGCAGGGCGGGAGCAACACAGGTGACGGGGATCAAGGTTAACGAGACACAGAGAGACAGCAGGGAAGACAGAGACACCAATAAACTAACAACTAACAGGGAAAACAGACTGAACTAAGATTAAACAGAATACAGCACAAACATGGACAAAATAACAGAAGCACAGAGAACTGGAGAAAACACCAAGACATGAATTGAGACACAGAACTAAGGAAACACGATGAGACAAGACAGTACTTAAGGCAAATGAACGAAATAATAAACTAGACTACCAAACTCCAAACCATGACAATATCAAATAAACACAGACAAAAACAACAGCACCAAACTAAATCCTAACACAGTATGGCTGTCCTGCATTCAGGAGGTCCAGGTTCGAATCATGCAAAGAGCTTACTTCTTAATGTGACTTTTTTCTGCATAATAGTGTCATAATAGGCCTTGTTGCATTTTCAGATTTTGAGAAAGCAGAGGCTGGGTCCACATTAAAATTAACAAAAAGATTTAATTACAAAAAATTAGTGAATAAAGAGATGGTTTTACAGAACAAACAAATAACACTGCAGTGGACTGAAAAGTAGGTCCTCCTCCCAGATCCACGGCTTACAGTCCTGATTCTTACAAAATGAATTGTTAATATCCTCCAGGTATGTGGGCGTGTCCATTTTCCTCCAAATGGCTCAGGTCCATAGCCTTGGTCGTTTGATTAACTTTTCGTCACCCAATTAGGAAGGGTGTACCATTGCCAATCCCAGACCTGAAACCCCCTTCAATCTACAGGAATAAACAGTCTTTTGCTCTAAACTAATCATAGAGAACAACAGGGCTTGTCTACAAAATGGTTGAAACCCTATCTTAAGTGTCAATGAAACAGTTAAAACAAAACAGTCCTTCTGGCACTAAACAAAGAGGTGTCAGTTTTCCTCACGTTACAAAGAGGATTCAAACAATGGTTTAATCAATATTCTGATGCAATCGTCTGGCCTAAAACCCAGCAGGTTACATTTTTAGAAGACAGAGGACACTGAAATACCCTTGGTAAGAAATATCAGCTTTGTTGATTTCTTTGCCTAAATCTTGATTTGATTTTACAACTTGTTTTGTTAAAATATCAAAAAAATTTTGGGTCATATTTTGATGCGTAGGCCTATGAAATGTTTTTATTTTCAGTGACATAACTGTAGCTTTGCTAAGTCTAATAGTCTAATAGTGATTTCACACCAATAAATGGTGTGAAAGGAGGGATTTGTAGAGTTTAAAATTTCATTTTGCAAACAAAACAAGTTATCAGAACACTTTCATGCTAATTCTCTTTGTCGCATCCATGTTTCCTTTTCCTGGTCTCTCAGTCCGTCCTACTAAAGACGTGAGGAGAGAGGAAAAAAGAAAATATGTTTTCAGAGAAATGAGACGTCTTTTCCTCTGAACCCTCATCTGATCACACGTGTTTTTCTACGACTGCACAGCTGGGTCACACCTGGATCAGGAGTGCACAATTACCTCCCTCTGCCACATCAGTGGTACATTTTTCTCTCGTTCTCTTTCAGTAAAAACCTGCATTATTCTGTGTTTAAACTGTGCACAGATCAGCAGAGCCACAGTTTGTAAATGAAATTCACTACTTCACTGAAAGCACATGAGACATTTCAGATGTCTCATGACTGGACATATGTTTATATTATTTAGTTTTATTACTACACACAAAAACATCCAGCATAGTTCAAAACAACGCAGCACAGTTTTCTTCCTTCTCCTCTCTCGTGCTGTCTGCTCAGCCCCCTGCCTCAGTCTCCCTCCTGCTTGTGTTCAGACTGGTCTGCCACCTGGTGGTGTTCTGTCCGTACTGCATCTCCACTGTCCTCATGATGTATTTATATCGACACAGGGCAGCAGGTAACTCTGAATCATTCACTGATCTTATAAACACTCATCAGTCAATCAGGGAAAAAAATATATAAAACCTGTAAGACATACAAACTTATAACAGAGCACTCTCACATTTTAGTTCTTAATTATTTTCTCCAATCGATGATCATAAGAGTCCTGTGATGAACCAATGACTGCTGGATAAATCAACTCTCTGTATCTCTATAGAATATTGTTTTTTATTTATTTATTTAAAAGGAGGAGTGCACATTAAAGAACATAAAGACAATGCCCAAAGGTAAATGAGCCAGATTTAGCCATACAGACTAATTTTTATCTGGAGTCCCTGCCAGTTTGAACATTAATTCATGGCATACAGACAACATTAAAAAACATGCACTTACAATCATAAGCAGACAACACAGTAATAAAAAAAAACAATACCTAAAACTACCTCAATTAAACGCCTGGTGTGGTTTTTATAGAAGTTCTTTGGATGTGTAATACCTCTTAAACAAAAATCCATAAGATATGTAAGAAACTTAGAAATGATTCAGATTAAACTTCACTTTCATCCCCTCTGAAAGGTGGGATCCATTCCATTGAATCAGTGGGTGCAGTTGGTAGCTGCATGTACTGAATCACTGATGATTTAATTACTGTTGTGATCATAGATCAAGCACAAGGTATCACACAACATGTTAGTGTTGTGTCCTTCAAAGAACGTTTCGTTCATTTGACCTAATCTTGTATGTAACTCAGGAGGAACGGGTTGTCTCAGTGAGTGATTCATTTATTTTCACGCATGTGTAACCAGGTGATAGAGTCAAACCTTAAATATACTAGAGATTCAAGTTACAAAACCTCTATTTGCACAATTTTCTGCTGTAGCGAGAGTGCTGCAGGTGTTGATCTTAGACAGCAGAGGGCATAGCGTTGCTGACTCAAACAGCCGCGTGCTTGCCAAGAGGTCAAGGGGCGCCGGGAAAATACAGGAAGTAAACTG